AATGCTTTTTATTAGTGATTTTAGGCTGAGATAATCAAACTGCTTGGACCGTCTGCTGTAATCCTCAGATCGGCTTTCCTCGTTCCTGTGGCAACCACTCCAGCGGGAGAGCTTAAGTGCGCTACATCGAAACGCTTCCGACAGGAGTTGTTCATCTTAACGAATAGTTCCGAATTTAAGGGGTCCATGTTTTTACGGATCGTCATAGCAATAAAACGTATTTTTAAAAATACAATTTTATTTTCTTCGGGAATCATTCTAACATGCTGGTTTGGAGCTCAAGACACACTTATTATTATAAGAGTTGAAAACAGTTGTTCTGCTTCAAAAGTTTAGTGTAAAATTATATTTTATTCAGCATTTAACATTTCTATTTTAAATAAATGCCGTGTTCCTTGAACTTTCTATTCGCCGAAGAATTAAAAAAAAAACAACAAAAAAAAACACGTTTTCCACATTAAGCAGCAAAAAACTGTTTTCAACTTTGACAATAATAAAAACTATTAATAACTGAACACCAATAATAATAGAAGAAGAATTAAGCACCAAATTAGATTAGAATGATTTCTGAAGGATCATGTGACACTGAAGACTGAAGTAATGATGCTGAAAATTCAGCTTTGCATCACAGGAACAACAATTGCATTTTCAAAAATATATTAAAGTGTCATTCCACGAAATCAGTGTCTTTTGTGTCCCTAATAAAATAATCAAACATAGAATTAATATAACAACAAATAAATTTGCGATTTAAAAAAAAAAACTTAATAGCCTACTGTGTATTCTTTCATCAATATTATTCATCAAAAAAAGTCAATTAGATATTATTTTAAATAATTTAAATAGCATTTATGTTGATAACAAGGGTAAGGTTTTTGGCCTGTCCCTCACTATGATTTTTTCTTTTTAAGCAGGACTTTTCATTTGCAAAATGAAGGCAAAATTATATAAAAATCACATTGCATATTGTTCTAAATACAGTCTCGTTGTTAAGCAATGTTTTTGGTTGCATTTGTATACATATTTCTATTAAATATAAATCCTTTTATTGGTGTCCCCTGACTTCATGTCAGCCCTGTTACCCTCATTAAAAAACCCTTGTAAAATAATGGTACATTCAAGTGACATCATTTCTAGGAGGTTACATCATCTCTCAACCTGGATTCCAACACTTCACACAAGCACGTTTTTCTCACTCCTCTATAATGTTCTATTTTTGATGATTTATGAGGCTTGGCTGAGGGGGGCATCATGCTGTTACAATATTTAAAATGTAAATTTAAACAATTATTTATTACATTTAAAGGGGTCATAAAAATGCTGTTGCTAAAAAGAAGATTATTTTGTGTATTTGGTGTAATGAAATGTGTTTATGCGGTTTAAGGTTCAAAAAACACATTATTTTCCACATACTGTACGTTATTGTTGCTCCTCTATGCCCCGCCTGTCTGAAACGTGTCGATTTTTACACGGATATCGTCCTCTTTTGGAAGGCCAAACAAAGTAGTTTCAAAGTAGTTTGAGCTAATGCCTATCATTCAGTGGCATATGTGCATCAGTTACATTTTTAGTTAGCACCGTTGGTATTGTTACTATTACTATTGTTGTTGTTGTTAATGACCAAGATAGAATGAACGCATTGTTTTCCCCATAACTCATTGTTAATAATGCATCCATGTTAATTCAATTACAAATAAGAGCAGCAAGGTGACTGCAGACTCTCACCCCAATCTTGCAGTGTTCAAGAAAGTGAAACCCAATTTCAGCATCAAGAGCTTGGTATGGTTTCAGATGAGGTTATAGATCTGATCATCTTCCTTGCCTAATAATTGAACCAGATCAGTATATTTGAAGTTCTGTGAGGGGACACAAACAGATGGACGCATTATCTAATTACAATACCCTTAAGACATTAGATCTCTTAGAAATGTAATGTGTTAAATCAACAATGACTGTTTTCAAAATCAAAAATTGATTTTACTATTGTCATACAACTATGCCAAGTAAGTGCAAAACAATATAATGCAATTTAAAATGGTAAAACTTTACAGTATTGTAAACTAATATGCACAGTGTGCTGAAGAATGTGTGTCCTGTCGTCCATGTTACTCTGTCAATCCTATTTCTGTCATCACTTTCATAAAAATTGTAAAAATGATATTTGATACAGCCTTCCAGGTTTTTCCATTGTAACTTTAACTATATTTTATTTTGGACAACACTATTTTTTAACATCTCTCTTGTAAAAATATATATTTTTCTTAACTGGTATGTGGTCACCCTCCAAAATTAGGATGTTCTTCAAAAGGCACCGATTTCGTGGAATGACCCTCAAGTAAAAAACATTAATTGTATATAGTCATATTGTAATAATATTTCACATTACTGTATTTTTTGATCAAATAAGGACTAAAGAAACAAAACATAGAAAAACATTATATCTTTGCATGTTTGTATAATAACCATATTATTATTGTATAATACATACAAAACAATAAAATCAAATGAAATTAAGTATCAAACTTTATTTTGTACCCCACTCATGAAAAGTGCTGTTTATGATTGTATCGAATATGTTAATTAACCACATTTGATTACTTGCACTTGATAAAAAGTTAATACTTAAAAGGATTTTTTTTAAAACATATAGACTGCATATACAATTCCTTTTTTATTATTTCCCAATGTTTTTACTGTGTCACATTTCTTACAAATTCCAAAGCCATAAAAAAGCCATTTTTAGTCAACTGAGAGATGTACACAATGTTTCTGAGCAGGCAAACAGAATACTGTTAAACATAATGTTCACAGAAACGTAAGAGGGGTTCCCAATTTCTCATCTCCAAGGTAGCGTTTAAGGAATTCGCGTACTTCCGGACTGAAAAGACTTGTATGGTAATCTCTAGTGTGTGAATCAGACTTAGGCTTCCGGGTGTCCTTGCACAGGTCCTTCACTCCCCAGCTGACAATACCCACCTGTTCAAGATTATTCAGATATTATTAAAACAAACATCTCTCAAATTAGACATGAATAACAACAATTTAGTCTTCTGAAGAATGATGCATATTATTTGAAATGGCTCAGTGTACTGTTGAAAGGAATCAGCAAACATGAGAAGTGATTCAAAAACACACCTGGACCATTCGATTACCAGGAACCACAAAATGTAAACTAATATGCACAGTGTGCTGAAGAATGTGTGTCCTGTCGTCCATGTTACTCTGTCAATCCTATTTCTGTCATCACTTTCATAAAAATTGTAAAAATGATATTTGATACAGCCTTCCAGGTTTTTCCATTGTAACTTTAACTATATTTTATTTTGGACAACACTATTTTTTAACATCTCTCTTGTAAAAATATATATTTTTCTTAACTGGTATGTGGTCACCCTCCAAAATTAGGATGTTCTTCAAAAGGCACCGATTTCGTGGAATGACCCTCAAGTAAAAAACATTAATTGTATATAGTCATATTGTAATAATATTTCACATTACTGTATTTTTTGATCAAATAAGGACTAAAGAAACAAAACATAGAAAAACATTATATCTTTGCATGTTTGTATAATAACCATATTATTATTGTATAATACATACAAAACAATAAAATCAAATGAAATTAAGTATCAAACTTTTTTTTGTACCCCACTCATGAAAAGTGCTGTTTATGATTGTATCGAATATGTTAATTAACCACATTTGATTACTTGCACTTGATAAAAAGTTAATACTTAAAAGGATTTTTTTTAAAACATATAGACTGCATATACAATTCCTTTTTTATTATTTCCCAATGTTTTTACTGTGTCACATTTCTTACAAATTCCAAAGCCATAAAAAAGCCATTTTTAGTCAACTGAGAGATGTACACAATGTTTCTGAGCAGGCAAACAGAATACTGTTAAACATAATGTTCACAGAAACGTAAGAGGGGTTCCCAATTTCTCATCTCCAAGGTAGCGTTTAAGGAATTCGCGTACTTCCGGACTGAAAAGACTTGTATGGTAATCTCTAGTGTGTGAATCAGACTTAGGCTTCCGGGTGTCCTTGCACAGGTCCTTCACTCCCCAGCTGACAATACCCACCTGTTCAAGATTATTCAGATATTATTAAAACAAACATCTCTCAAATTAGACATGAATAACAACAATTTAGTCTTCTGAAGAATGATGCATATTATTTGAAATGGCTCAGTGTACTGTTGAAAGGAATCAGCAAACATGAGAAGTGATTCAAAAACACACCTGGACCATTCGATTACCAGGAACCACAAAAGTGGCCCCACCAGAGTCACCTGTTGATGACATGCACAACATTCTGAGTTCAGATCTTTTAGCAAATTCAATTTATTAAGAATAGGGACACTAAGGATATGACATTTTATGATGATTCTAATAGTATCATGGTAGATTACTGCCAAATATTATGTCCCCTTGCAAAAATCCAAACTCACCTTTGCAGGCAATATCATCTACATTAGGTTCAATACCACCGCTGCACAGAAAATTATCTGTAACGATATCTTTAGCATTTTTCGCAGTAATTCCGTCAGCTTTTTTGGCATCTTCAACACAAGCATCCCGCTGAAGAAAAGGGACATATCAATTTTAGACAAAAGAAATTCATAACTGTTGAGCAAAGCATGCATTTAATTAGGCTTTTTGCTTATAAGTTCATTACTCCTTTGAGTTCCATTATTAAAAAATCAAGCTGTGATATGAAACCACACTAATGAAACCACAAATGAATAAAAATAAAAAGAGAGCAAGACAGTGTCCACTATACAACATATCATTACCCATTTTCCCTGCTTGATTGTGATTTGTTTCTTCTCAATGCTTTTTCCCATGACCGACATGAAAGAAGCTTTCACAGTTTCTGCACTCATTAGCTCTTCCTCTGTAAAAACATAGTTAAATGTAAATAAAATATATGTTGTATTTTAGCAATGCAAGTTTTTATATATATTTTGTATTGCCACTCATTAATGTAAAACATTATATCAACTGTTCTATTTAAAATTGTATTTTGACAATTTAGTAGAATAATTGAATAACTGATAACAGATAAAGCAGAATCCAAAGAGATTTATCTGAAAGGTAAGTTTATCATTTATATGCAGGCATATGAATATTTACATATGTAATTGCCCATATTTATTTGAAGATTTGTCATAATAGCAACACTATGAATGTAATTGAATGATTTCACTCAATTAGGATGTAGGTATAGGATTTAATTAGGCCCACTTGGGCCAATTCTGGGGGGCCATCTTACTCCAAGGGTCCAATTTAATCTTTTTAGTTGAAAATTAAAGCTATCATTTCTACATGTGTCCACAAATCCTTCATTAACATATAAACACAAACAAATTGATATTCAACATAATATAATGTCATAGATCACTATTTTCCAGAGACCTGGATCTTTCAACCTCCAAACTGACTTAATCTCACAAATGTTGATATTCACTTAAAGTGACAATATTAAGAAGAGCTAGAAGAGAACTATTCATTAAAAGTTCTGAGATGAGATTTTGGGCTGTCTATGGTCAAAAGAAAAAAATATGATGGGTGGGTCATGTAACTAATACACATGCAATATTTCTGACAGACATATCTGTTTGTAACTCACGATGTTTTCTGCATGTTCCTTCTCTATCTGAAAGTCTCAGAGCTCCACTTGTTTCCTTGGTGCAGGGGATGCAGATTGGCCTGTAGAGACAAACATGATATGCATTGATTCATGACACAATTTTAACACTTTTTAGTAGCATAAAATAATGCATGTCATGTTGACAAGCTGCGTTCCTCACCGAAGAGCAAGATCCATAATTACAGGGTTCTCCAGCTGAATAAGAGCCACGTCAAATTCATAATATTCAGGTATTCCCACGTTCTGTTTTGCTGCAACGTCATAGCGAGGATGAGGTATGTAATCTTTCACTTGTATTCCTAAGAAGAGAAAAGGAAACACCACTGATGAGGTTTACACCATTACATGTAAAAAAAAGAACTGTATTCTAAATCATTCTCAATATTACCTTTAATATCTGAACCCAAATCAACAGTTATCCTATCAGGTGTGTCACCAAACCTGAAGCAGTGAGCCGCTGTCAAGATAAAGCTTGAAGTGACTAATGACCCCACGCAATTTGAAATCTTTCCATTGTTGCGCTGCAAAATCATCAGAGAGGGACTAAATATTTAGTTGAAATATTTAACAAAGAATGTTAAAAGAACTAGCATGGTTATGCTAAGCCATTTATTTGTCCACATTTTAACCAGAAATAAGACTAAGATATAGAAATACCCACAGTCACACTGATCTTTGCCAACCAGGGGTATTGATGACGTTTGTGGGAATCAGTGCCATCGTCGTAATCTCTGTAAAGTCCACATAATGTTACACTGGTGCCCTCATCTGTTCAGGCAAGGAAAACAGGAGAAACTTATATATTGAATATACTGACTGTGCTTTGCAATGGATGTGGAGGACAATTATTATCTTAAAATTATATTTTTACCCAGCTTTTTTTAGCTTTTTACCCAACTAAGTGCATGTTTCTAAATGGAAAAAACATAATGAAGTACCAATCATGCCGTCAAATGTCTCCTGCAAATCATCCAAGTTCTTAAGCTTGAAGAAAAACTTCTCATTGCCCCTGTCAGTCTTCAAATCATTAATGTCCTCAGAGTTCACATCATCTCCCATTCCAAACACATACAGGTCTGCACAAAAAGGTATCACAATAATAAAAAAAAAATTAAAAAAAGAATTGAGCTGTATTTGAAAATTTGCTTAATCTCAAAGATCATTCGTGTTCTTTCTCACCAAGGTTTTCCTCCTCCTCTGAAGGAGTATTTTGTTTTACAAGATCTTTGATCTGGTCCACCCATTTTCTTGGATTACCACCCATGTTGGCCTGACCTAAAGAGTGAATCATAAAAGTCATAATTTTATTATTTTTTAACATCAAGAGCAAAAGGCCCTTGAACAGATTCAGTGCTAACCACCAAGTATAAATATTGCTATTATTTTTTTTTTTTTTACGATTCCAAATCAAAATTGAAATAAACATCATCATTACCATCAGAGAACATGATGACGATATGTTGGGTCTTCTTGAATTCCTCTTTATTCCTCATCTGCTCTATTTGCATACTTTCTAAAATGCTCCTATAGGCCTGGGCGATATTAGTTCCTGTTCGATCACCTTTACCTGTTAGTCACAAAACCATCGGGATTTTAAAATATGTCCTTAAAGACAAGTTATGAAATATTTTACTCTCAGACTGACCACACCGAACAAACACATTTCAATTTTTGCTGTAAGAATGACCTTTAAATCAGACCTAAACAAAACACTTACTGTTATATTCATAATCCTTCAGTCTTTTAAGAATTTCTAACAGATTATTTTTTTGCCCGCTTTTGAAGTCCCTCATGGAGACTATCCATGCAACATCTGTGGCAAAAATCAGGATCTCATAGTTTGGGGAGACTTCGTAATAACTGATCTGTTGGTAATGATCATAGGTTCACAAAGTTTCATTAGGAATATAAAACACGACATTCAGAGAAGAGATTTGAATGGGAAACTAATAGTGTGCTAGTAATGGGACATAGGCAGAAATGTCAAAGAATAGATAGCCAAAGGGTGTGACTGTGTTATCAACATACTATTTATCTCATATACCTTTTCTATAAGTGTTTTGATGACACCTTTTGCCTTTTCAAAGTCCTCTTCGTCTATGCTATCAGATACATCCAGAGCAATGTAGATATCAAGCTTCCCCCCATTACCCACTCGTATTCTTTTTCCGTACTGATCTGAAGACACAGGGAACAGGTTTTATACAAAATAAGTAGTGGTAACCAAAAACTATATGCTGCCTTACAGAGGAAGAAGACAGTGTGAGTTGCACAAGACTACCTGTTCCTTCATACTGTTGAGAAACTGCTAGATTTGACTTTAGAGAACTGCTGAAACCCTCTGATGCTTCCTCTGGGCTGTCGTATGTGAAATCAGCTGTATTTACACAACAACAACATTAGCAAAGCTGAATATGTACTGCATTGCATTTCAAATGAGTAAGATGAAAGGTTTACCGTAACATTGTGGCTCTGTTCCTGACCACTGGCCATTCTCCTGACAGACTCGCTCCTTGGAACCAATCAGAGTCAATTTATTTTCACAGCGGTACGTGACTTTGTCATCTATATTAAACATGTGGCCTGTTCTTGTAGAGCCAGCGGGAATCCCAGGATCAGGACAGTGATCAGCTGTTTGAAAAAAGGAACAGGCAATGGAAGCGAATGAGAAATTATGAAAAGCAAATTGTGACTCAATCTTTGCTTATTCTTCTAAAAGGGCTGACATTGTTTATTTAATCTGTAGAGTATTCATGAACCAGGAAACTGACAGCATTTAAAGACTTCCCACTCACAGTTTCTTCCACAGACTGGTGTGCCTCCACTCCATTTCCCATTCGCCTGGCAAACTCGAGTCCTCGAGCCACGGAAATCGTAGCCAGAATTACACGAGTAGTGGGTTGTGTCGTTCACAAAATACTGCCTCTGATATGGATACACCTCTCCATTTTTGAAACCACGAGGATCAGGACATGTGATTTCTGAGATAAAGGATTTTTGTGTGCGTGTGAGTAGCCTGTGTTGTGTTTTCAATTATGAATAAGTGTATGTTCATGTTTTGCTTACTCTTGCACTCTGGTTGTTTTCTTTTGGGCAACGGGTTCCATTTTCCTCTGATACAGTGACGGATCCTGATGGCTGGGTAATAGCCTTCTGAACAGTTGTATCTTACAATGCTCCCATCTTTTGAGAAAGAAAAACTCCCTCCACTAATACTGAGATTCTCATCAGGGCACGAAATAGAGGACGGAGCACCTATGAGAAATATAAGAGGGCCAGATAAAAAAAAATAAAAAAAAAGGTGTTGCAAGAGTGCACTGTAAAGAACACAAAATGTTCTAACACAAACTCTTAAAAATAAAGGTTTCAAAAGGGGCTTTTACGACAATGCCATAGAAGAACCATTCTGGGTTGAAAAAATCTTTCAGTGAACAGTTCTTTCTCCTGAGACCCTGTGACCTCATATGAGGACATTATATTTTGGTGTATTTCTCTGAGACTATACATGCCACAGTTTTAAGTCTGGATGTCCTGTACAGAGCACATTCAGTGCTTTTCAGAGATACGAAATGTTTGGATGTTTCACTATGACCACTCCCTCTCCTTGGTCTTCAAATATGTCTGATATTAATTTAGTGACACTCTTACGGAAATATGATAATATTTTGTAATTATCATTTAAATCTGTCTAATTTTTAAACTGTCTGTCATAAATCAACATCTCAGGAAAATGTTATGGGGTTTCAAATCAAAATATGACTTTCTGTTACGAAACAGGATGTTGATTTCATACATGTCCTCATATGAGGACACCGGGACTAAAAGCATGTTTATTAGCATTTTGGGAGACATAACAAATGAATAGGGAAATAAAATATGTTTCAATATTCTATGAAATATTATATATTATTATGAAAATCTTGTCAAATATTACTCCCATTATTACACTTCTTTTTTCATTACATGTTGCCCCAAAAACACATTAATATGCAAATTAGATTTAGTTTATAGATAC